GTTTGTTAGCCGTCTTTATTGTAGGTATGGTTTGTTGGTATAAATGTCATTGATATTCTTGGCTAAATGATTGTTGTTTGTTGCCTTTCAATTACCAGGCGTTTCTAGAATGAGTCCATTCGAAAATCGTGAGTTGATGTATAAGAAATATGAGAGAGAAGGTGTTGTTAGTCAAGAATGGGTGGACAACGTGGTTGATTTTGTAGAGTACTGTGAGTCAAGTCCCAATGTAGATAGGTTGGATAACAAGAAAATGCGATGTCCTTGCAAGAAATGTAAGAACATCAAGTTTTGCTCATCAAAGATTATGCTGGAGCACATTTTGCGGTTTGGATTCACACCCAATTACTTTGATTGGGTATGTCACGGGGAGAATCATGGTGACTACGTACCTCCACAACGATGTAAAGTCCCTCGCCAAGCTGATGCCTCAGATGTATCACATGTCCCGGGTAAAGAGCAGTTTGTACACATGATTTATGATGCAGTCGGCCCGACTAGGATAAACTCTGTTGGTGTTGTGATCAGGTTGTCTGCTACGGAAATTCTTGTTGCTGCGTTTTGTCGCCTGTCTGCGACGGACTTCCCCGTCGCTATTTCCGTCGCCGATCTGCGACGGTTTCAATACTTCCGTCGCAGATTTTTGGGGTGCAAAAGACGAAGGTACCCGTTGCAGGTCCGTGGCAGATCTGCCACGGAATCTTATTTCCGTCGTAGATTTTCAATCTGCCACAACTTTTCTGCGACGGAAAATATTCGTTGCAGTTCTGTCGTAGATTGCTAATCTGCCACGAAATTTCAAAATCTGCCACAGAAATTGTCCGTTGCAAATTGACAGTTTTCTTGTAGTGTGATTGCAATAGAAAGCGACTACAATTCACCCCTGTACCTTATGATGGCTTATTGATATAGTTTTTTGAATATTTAAATTTTATTTTCCAAATCTACCTCAATTTTCAAATTTTGACTCCAAAGTCAAAATCAACTTGTGGGGTGCAATTGAAGGGGGTGGGGGTGTGTTCGGGTCGAAGCGGGGTGGGGGGATTTATCGGAGGGTTAGGGGGGGTAGGAACCGTCAATTTTACGAACGGGGCACCAGAGCGCCCCCGAGTCATCCCATGACATTGCTGGGCAATGTCATGGGAACCTTGCCGATGAATTATTTATGCTAATATTTCCTTTCAATTAGGATTAATAAAAAATATGGTTCCCTTATCCTCACTATTTTTATAGCATTGGTTGACATAAAAATTAAAAAACAAAAATTGTACTATTGATATTGATGTGAAAATTAAACATGTAAAAAACACTCATAGAGAGTTCGAACCACAAAAATAATACGGAGTAATAGATACGGAGTATATGGTTTGGATGAAAATAGTGTGACATAGAAAAAAGAGAAAAAAAGTTGTAATGAATGGAATATAAATTATTTTAATAAAAATATGAAATTTCAAAAATATAACATTTGTTTTAACACTTTATTATGACATTTTTAAAAACTTTCCAATTTCTTCTAATTTCTTTTAATTTTTCCAACTTCTTATGTTTTTTTCCTATTCCTTCCGGGTGCTTCTTTCATCTCTTTTCCATTTCTTCAACATCTAACTCTCCTTTCACTATAGCAATTACCCTCACGATGGAGCTCTTGTATCGGTACTTTCTTCATTATTACTCCTAGTGTAGTTTAGTAATTTTCTCCTTTTAAAACCAAAAGAACAAAGTCTTAATCTTGATGGTCTATATCATACTCCTACCGTTCCAAACTACTCCGTTTTTGTTTACTATTTATTAGGTCAAACAACATTTGCTTTATATCCTAATTTTCGTTACTCATTTAAAAAAATAATATTGTCATGTCACTTCATGTTTCGTATAACTATTGATATAGTTTTTTGAATATTTAAATTTTATTTTCCAATTCTACCTCAATTCTCAAATAATTTGCATTGAAAATAACTATAGCGAAAAACATTACCCAAATGGAACAAAAACCTAATATAAAGTAAAACATTAAAAATGTACAAAATCATTTTCATCAGCCAGAATAGACGCGCCTCGGTTAATACCTCACCACACTGTGTCATTGAAAAATTATAAAAATTGGAGCTCTATGTGTTTATATCCAAAATATGAATTCTAATGTCAATGATGTCAACATATAATACCAAAAAACAGTACTACCTCTGTGCAGTATATTTGTCAAATTTGACTTTTTCAAGTCAAACTGTATAAATTTTGAACTTTAATGACTCCTAATTTATACTGCATGGTACGGAGTAGTATAATGAAATAAAATCTTGATAGTTCTCAACAAGATAAATTTAATAAAATTATTTTTATACTAATATAAATTACAATTTTTCGTTTAATTGTACTCATTATGGAGTAGGTTGGCATACTTTATAATTGTTGAAGATGTGAATGGTTACGTTGAAGCCTTTTCTATGAATGTGGGAGCAGATGTCCAAATCTAATGTTTGCACCAGGCTTATGCGCTTTTAATAACGTAAAGTAACAGCAATTTGGCATTTGGACTTTGGAGGACCACTTAATAAATGTCCCACACATGCCAATTAATTGTAAAAGTTAAGAAAGTCAATCAAAGTTGACGAATAAATAAACATTTTTTTCCCGCATGACAAGCACGAATAGTTACGTTCCGTAGCACATGAATGGATACGGCCAATTTAGATACAATGAATAAAACCGAAAATCCAGGATAGATAGAACTAAAATGTACGGCATCATATATACACTCATTGCTAAGTTGAGCAGGGTACACCCTGTACAAGAAGGTGTTAGGAAGCACATAAAAAGGCAGATGACACGAAATTGGTTCTACTTCGAAGAAGCTGATGGATGATGACACGATTCGAAGCAGGGGAGGACAAACACACACACACACAATTTATATATATATATATATATATATATATATATATATATATATATATATATATATATATATATATATATATATATATATATATATATATATATGTTAGAGAAGGAAAAGGAATATTAGAATATTAGCATTCCTAATCCTATTAGGATTCCTATTAGGAATAAGGAATACCTTGCTAAGGAATAGGATTAGCATTCCTAATCCTATTAGGAATAAGGAATACCTTGCTGTATATATATACTCTCCATTGTATTGTACAGAATCAAGAGAGA